AGGCTGCCACATTAAACCTGTGGTTCTGGAAGGCTGAGAGGTGTGGAGAAAAACAAATGGAAAAGTATTATTCGTGACCAATTGATCAATTAGAGTGCTTTTCATTAAAAAACATAAAAAAGGCAGAAACAATTTAGCAATGACTGTGTTAGAAATGCATGAAAACATTATTAATGTTGGATTTTTTTCTCATTTATTTTTAGTTCTCTTTAGAAAATTACACTTGAGAGTTTCCTGTAATGGCAATCAAAGGAGCAAATAAGACAGCACTGGAGCCCTTTTGTAATGTTAATGAAGGGGTAGGGACTGATCCCCAGCTTGTAAGGCCTTTTCTGTGTAGTTGCTTCAGAAGCCAGACTGATTTACGGATGTCTGAGAGCATGAGATAACCAATTAGGGAAGTCACCTTCTAACAAGACTCATCCTTTGTCCCGTGAAGAAATCCAGTGTGCTCTTTTATAAATCTGACAATGGCTACACTCTTGTGTTTTAGCAGTAACATCTTATACAGCACAGGAATGTGGAAAACGATATGTCAAAATATCATCTCGTGTCCTGAGGCTCTGAGGTCTCCTAACTCCCCTCTCCTATTATTCCTTTCAGTTTTTTCCTTCCTATTCCTTCATCGTTCTACATTTTTCAGTTCCTAGTATTATCCTTTATGTTTAAAGTCCCTCATACAGAGCCTTAAGCTACATAAATGCAATAAGTAAACTCATCTATTGCTCTAATTCAGATGAACAAAACCAAAAACATATTTTGGTAGCAATACTCCCAGATTTTCAATAACTTAACTTAAAACTTGGATGGTGGTGGTGGTGCTTGGGGAGTGAGGGGTCCTGTTACTGATTTCCATTCAGTTTCATTTGTGTCACTTCTCCCTGACAGGTGCCAGTCTTCATATAGAATGCTCTGGAATCAGACCATCTGGGTTCAAATCTGGACTCTACCACATACTAGTTAAGTGACCTGTGCAAGTTACCTAACTTCTCTCTACCTCAGTTTCCTCACTTGTGAAAGAAGGATAATATTAGCACTTATTTCATTGTGCCATTATGAGAAGCAAATGAGTTAATACTTGCTAAGTGCCAGAACAGTGCTTGGCAAATAACAGACATTGTTTTAGGAACTTTATATGTATAAATTATTTCATCTTCAAAACGATACGATAAGATAGGTGCAATTATTACTCTCATTTTATAGCTTAAGAAACTAAGGCACAGAAAGACTGAGTAACTTGTCCCAGTTGGCCCAATTAGTAACTGAAGGATTGGCCTCAAACCCAGACTGTCTGGCTCCAAAGCAAGCATTCAGTAAATGTTACTTCTTGTTTTTGTTACCTGAACGTATACACTCAATAAAATATCTCCTGTTGCCCTGGCCGGGTAGCTCAGTTGGGTGGAGCATCGTTCCGATACGCCAAGGTTGCAGGCCGGATCCCCGGTCAAGGCACATACAAGAACCAACCAATGAATGCACAAAGTGGAACAACAAATCAATGTTTCTCTTCCTATCTCTCTCCCTCCCTTTCTTTCCCTCTAAAATCAAACAATAAAATTTTTAAAAGTAAAAAATACTTATAAAAAATAAATATCTGCTGTTGCTGCTGATAATGATGAATTTGTATGTGTAATCCTTCTTCAAAGTGTACTAAGATGTATATGACCCCTACAGGATTAGTCGATTTAGGCAAGGATTATCGCCTGAAGTCATTGGTGAAGTTTGTTGGGACATAGGATATTACCATGTGCCAAAGTGTCACCTGCTCAGGTTACTTCTCAATTCCAAAGGAGAAAAAGTAGCTTTGTGACAGAGATCCCTGGAGTGAGGTCGCTACCTTGAACCACGATCAAACTGAGCATCACAAATAGAGGGACAACCTGGCATTCGGTGCCTCCTGTGAGATGCAATATAGAGCACCTTGTAACAAATGCTCCCTCGAAATATAATAAATGCTTTAGGTCTAACTTTGAGCTTACAGGAAATACATGGGGTAAAGGAAGAAATGAAATGATATCATGAGGCAACAACAAATCCAGAATGTGGAACATTCCACAAGATAAATGGCCTAACCTTTTAAAAAATTCAATGTCAAATAAAAAGACATAAAACACCAAGGCAAAAATGTGCTTTCCTTTTTAACAATCACATCTAGTTTTGTGGGTTTTTTTTAGGTATGGAAGAAATTTCAAGGATGAATGGTGAAAGTTAGATATGGCCTAGATATTAGATAATATTAAGGAATTACTGTTCATTTTCTTAGGTATAATGATGGCATTGTAGTAATACAGGCAAATGTCCTTATTCTTAGATGTACTGATTTAGAGATGAAATGTCATTTTGCCTATAACTTACAAGTAGTTCAGAAAGAAATCACATACAAATGTAACCAATATAGCAATAAATTCACAACTGTTGAATCTAGGTGTTATAGAGGTGTTAATTGTACCAATATTTTAACTTTAACTTTGAACATTTTCTTCACTTTCTTCATAAGATATATGCCTTACATCTTTGGAGAACATGTAGGACTTTTATTTTCATGTACTTAGTAATAGTTTTATGTTTTAATTCCCTAAAACGTTTGCCTCTGAATTAATATTTAAAAAGAAATTTTTTTTAAAAAAAGTTACTAAATTCCTATTGGCTCAAGCTTATTGAAAACTTAATAATAGTTGTTGAAGAGAATTCAGTGCCTAACACATAGTAAATGCCCAATAAACGTTTGTCAATGTTCATTTATGTATGTAGTACGCTTTTCTGAGGATTGCAAAGTGGAGAGAGACAGGGAGAGAGGGAGAGGAGAGGAGAGAGGGAGAGAGGAAGAGAGAGAGGGAGGGAGGGAGGGAGAGAGTGATAGATAAATGGAGAGGGAGAGGGAGAGGAGGTTGTGTTGTTTCTTTACGGATCAAGATATGCTGGGCAAATACTTGAGATGGACAAAATGGGGGCCATTCGACCCTATCCTTTGATTCAAATAGCTTAGGTCATGAAGATTCTTGACCAAGTTTTGAGTTTGAATAGCTTAGGTCATGAAGATTCTTGACCAAGTTTTGAGTTTGTTTTGCAAGGGCACGAAAATGAAAAATCTGTCCCTAGGACTAATCCAGAAGCAACTACTATTACTTGTTTAGAAAATACTGATGGAATCACACTTAATGACACATTTTTGAACAATTGTAGACTTTTCTTGATTCAGGAAAAGAGGCAAGTTTTGCTCAAGTTTTGGCATGAACCCTACAAGTCACCAACACCAGTGAATGTTATTCTCTGAGAATCAATAAATATGTGGAAACTAGAGTCATTTTCAGCTCGTCCAGAAGGCAATGGTTCTCAAAGAGATGGCTTTAGGTAGTGAGATATACTTTGTATAAGAGGTGGGAAGAAAATGATCAAGATTAAAAAAATAATAATGGTATCATTTTGCATTTTCATAGTGCCATTTTCCTAAGGCACTTCATATCTATGTTAACTCATTTATTCTTATAATATCCCTGTAAGGTAGACATAGAACTACTGAGATTAAAAAAAATAAAAGGGATTTTCATCAGGGTCTAAGATGTGGAAGAAATTCAAAAGGATATTATATTAGCAATAGAGATATTTCTTCATATTGAACAAACTGATCACCTCCTTCCCCTCTGCTTCAGTAAAGTCTTTTTAAAAAGATAAAATCTATTACAATTTAGGGAGAATAAGATTACAGTTTACTACAGGGGAGACACTCCCAGTTCAATCTAAAAAGGTAATTTTATTCAATGATATAGGGCTGTCTCTCTTTAATAAAAAACACAAAATAATTCTCAAAAAGAGTACAAATCAGAATTTTTAAAACTTGAAATTTAAATGCACTTAGCTATTTACGTAGTTTTCTTTATTTAACAATGGATCCTTTTGTAAAGAGAATCACTTTAAATTATTTTATAAATATTAAGTTTTATAAAAAATTACACTGGCTTGTTAAAGCAGAATATACTTACAGTAAATGTTCTTTCTGAAACCAAAAATAAGAAAAAAAGGGGAGAGGGGACCACTAAGGAGCTAAACAATCTATGACAAATGTAGTTGTATAGAAAAGAATCTTCAGCCTGAGGTTTCCCATTCTCAGATGACACAACATAAGCAACATGTAATCCTTTCCATTGGATTTTTAGATTCCAAATTTTTCCTCTCTTAATTGATCTAGGGATGCTTATTTTCAGTAATGTGCAAATTAAGAGCATGGCCTTAATTAACAAGGCCTAATTTGGGGTATATAAATACAATATTTTTTTTCACAAAATTGTGTTTCAATACAATATTTTAACATTAGTAAAATCCTTGGCAGGTGTGTTCAATCCTCACATTCAGGTACAGGTGGGGCAAAGAGCATAGAGGAGATGTCTTAAGACTTGGTGCCTGAACTACAGACAGTCTTAGGGATATAGCGTTAACGGTTAATAAGGAGACAAAGATAGACAGCACTCTTCTCAAAATCTATTTCAACACAACGTTTTCTTTTTGTAAAGAAACCCAAACTGGAGTTCTTTGTTAAGGCAACATAAATACGAACAGAAGTAGAAATGAGAGCAGTAAGAGAAATCCCGACCTCAGAGTACTAGTGTTCATTCATTGCTGCTCAGCCCCTCACCTCCACTCCCCAGTTTGAATTAAATGCTGACTATGGTGAAGTGAAATTTCACCTTGGTAATCCCAGGGCCTAAAGTCTCTCTCTGATCTGGCTCAGAAGCCAGTCAGTGGAGGTATTTTTCTGTAATGGGCTGGGTAACGAACAGGTCTTCTAGTTCACTTGCCAGATAGAAGTCAAATCCTATCACCACAGCCATTGCCACAGCAAAAGATTTAGAGACCTTAGCTGATGGACCAAAGTATTAAAAGCAATATTTGGAGAGCCCATGGGGTTCATTTTAATTAGAACTGACTCATAGAGAGCATTCTGCAAATTATAAAACTGTTCAAGATGTCTAGAGAATGTGGACCGACGTTGTATAATGACATACCTTTTAGAAGAGAAGCGGTTGAGTCTGTATCTTGGCTTTGACACTGAGTTATTAGAATCCTCTCCTGCAAGAAGGAAGATGCATTCACATACAAATTACTGCATTTCAGAGTACAGATGCGCTGTCTTCCAACTACCACACTAAAGAGAGGGTACACGCTCACAGAAACATTAAAAGTTCCTCCTCCTCCCTACCTCTTACTCCCTCCTCCAAACTACCCCCAGTCAGTCCTGCAGTGTGCAGGCAAACCACACAGGAACTAGCAGATATGGGGCTTCAGAGAGTTGGGTGTGAGCCTTAGATTATGTGGTTTTGTTTTCTTGCTACCAGAGTTGAACTAAAATGCAGGAGGTTCACTGAAACACTTTGCTTCTTTATGCTTGGTTTCAGTTTTAACAAATTTCCCCCTGAACCATTATGTTCACATAAGAAAATTTCTAATCCTGGAGATGATCTATTGGCAAGCTGCTGCTGGTCTTAAGGAAAATGCTCATTTTCTCTTAGTATAGCCAAACATCCATAGAAACATTAAGAATTCTTAGGGGCACTTACTTAATACCACTCTGGTTCACTCACAATATTAAAATCCCAGGGAAAATGCATTCTCAGTGCACTTAGCCTATATTACCCTTAACAAACAAACAAAAAAGAGAAAAGCTGAGCCAGGATGCGTTCCAACATGTTTTACCACAGTCAGGACATGAACTGGGACTGGCTACTTCAACTTCTGGGATTCACTTTCTCTTGAGTTGGTTGGACTAAAGGATTTCTGAAATGTTAAGATTTTTTTTATTGCCTTAAGATTTTTGTCACCTCAACTTTCTTAGTTCTTATCTTCAAATTTATAACTCACCCGCCTCTCTAAGTTCCTCCCTCCCATAACAAGTACAACTTGTGAAGGCCTCTTTCCCTCTCTTTTCTCTTGTTGGAAAATGGATTGCAACGTTGCATCTTTTGTACAAAATTAGACACGTTTCTATTTCATTCACAGTTGGGGAACTGGACCCACGACAAAGAGGAAACTGTTGGCTCACAGGATATTCCTAACATCAATCCCTTGAAGACTAAGAAGAAAGGTATTATAAGACTCAATTTGGGGTTCTAAAATGGGAACTTATTCTATACTGTGAAATGGTATCCTTTTCTATCTCTTTGTCCCTTTATACCTAAATCTTGCTCAAGATTTACCCCTTAGAACTTTTATTTGGTAATGATTTTCTTTTTTAAAAATTGAAATAGAAAAGAAGAATCTGGTGTAGAATCAGCAGAGTACCTTGGTCATAGTAGGCAGATGCTCAGTAAATATAGGGTGTCCCCAAAATATATATACACACTTTGAATAATTATAAAGACAGTGTTTAATAACATACATTTCTTTTTCAAAATTGAACTGTTAACGTGTGTATACATTTTCTGGGGACACCCTGTATTTGTTAAATGAGTTAAAAGAAGTAATTTTCTACTCCCAACTCTTTAAAGAAGGACTTTTTAATAATGCCAGTGTGTTTAATTTCCTTATATTCAAGTTGTGTCTGAACAGGGTCCCCATTATTTCCACACATTGTAAAGATAGAAATTTCAAGATAACAACATGTTGCTGATTTTAAAACAATGACATCTCAAGGTTGGCCTCAGTGTCCTCAGCAGCTCCACTGCTGGTTTTCAAACACTGAATCCTCTGGCCACAGTACTTATCCCAAGTTATTGGTTAAACACTGAATCCCTAAACTTCCATGGCTGGGGAGTGGGAAGAAAGGAAAAGTTGAATAGTGCTCTATAGGAAGTACCATGGTGTTTTTAGCTTGCACCTTAATGAGGAAGCTACTTTTCCACAGGAAACTGCATTCCAGGGAGAACATAACCCCTCCCCTAACAAGTATGGGCAGAGTGCAGAACAGAAAAATCTCTAAGAGAAGTTATCTCAGTAGTAAGTAACAATCAGCAGATGTGAGAGAGCATATTGGGAGGGTAGCAAGGCCACTTATTGGTTTATTTCATAACAGCTCTGTCACTGAACAAGTGCAAAGGCAGAACCTTAGAATAAAGACTGTAATGTGAGATTGCCAGCATTTCAGCCCTCACCATCATGGACACTCAGAAGAATATAAGCCAAATTGGGAGGGTTTAGGAATATGTGAAATCTCAACTTATCTACAATGGAGAATTTTTCTTTTAATACTATACTTGTTTAAAAATTTTTAGCAATTCTTTTTGAGGGAATCGTTGTTAATATCAGAACTTCTTGTGCATAACCATGTTTAATCTAACTCTATGGTAATACGTACTTCTTATTCAATAGTTTAGATCCAGTCACTCTCTTCTCACTCATTCAGTAAATAATGTTTGAACACTTACTTTGTGTTAGGCCTGTTCTAAGTGCTGGGAATGTATCAGTGAACAAAACTTAGCTCCTACCATCCTGAATCTTACTTCTGGCACAAGGAGAAACAGGACGCGTGTCAGATGGCTGTACTACCACAGAGAAACATAAACGGGGTAAGAGTCATAGGGAGTGTGGCTGAGGTGGGGGGTTGTGATTTTACTGGGAGATCAAAGGAAGTTTGAGCAAAGTCCAAAATAAAGCCATGGAGCCAGCCTAATAGCTCTCTGGGCAAACAGCTTTTGCAGGTATAGGGACCAGCAGATGCAAAGGCTTAAGGTGGAGCAAGCCTGTAGGGATGGAGGTTAGAGAGAGACAGGGGCCAGAACATTAGGGCCTTGCTAGCCATGGCAAGGTCTCTGGGTTTTACTCTGAGTGAGATGGGAGTCAATGGAAGATTTTGAACTGGATATTACCATATATGATCTGACTTGGGTTTTAAGTTTTAAAAGGATCACTCCAGTTGTTGTGTTGAGATTAGATTATAAGAGAGCAAGAACAGAAGCAGGGAGAACAGTTAGGAGGCTACTGTACTATTCCTGGCAAGAGATGATGGCAACCTAAGACAGCTTGTGGGAAGTGAAGGTTGTGGAAGTAACTGAATTCTGAATATACAGGGTGACCATAAAGTCTGGAAACACAGATATTATTATTTTATTGTGTATTAGAATGTGTCACTGATATACCATTTATTAACTACGGACCACATATTACCCAGATTTAGTATGAAAGATGAGCTGATGAATATGATGCGTGGTGTGACAAAGCGAGGAGTCAATGATGACTCCAAGGTCATGGCCTGAGAAACCAGAAGCAAAGATGTGTCACTTACTGAGATGGGGGAGCAGGTTTGGAAAGTTGGAAATTTGGTTCGAGACATATTAAATTTGAGATGTCTATGAGAAATACCAGTAGGGGGGCTGGTCAGGAGAGGTTAGAGCTGATAATGAAACATTGAGAGCTGTTGAAAGAGAAGGGTGTTAAAAGCTGTGAGACTGGATAAAGCCACCTAAAGAATACATACAGAGAACAGGCCGCTCCAAAGTTGAGAGGGTCAGAGAAACGAAAAGAAACCAGCCAAAAAGGTGAGAAGGAGCAGCGATGCCCTAGAAATCAAGAGAAGAAAACTTTGCTGACTTCTATAAAACTCTGAGTTTCGGGGGTGGGGAGGAGCACACCAAGTTATTATTGTAAAACGAAGTCTGTGTTTGGCGAATACTACAGTACTGCAACTAAATTATGGTGCCCCCAAATGGAGGAAAGCAGACAAAAAGGACCTCTTACATAATGGCACTTGAACGGAGTTAATTCCACTAGGTAGGGAGCACTACACTTATGCAGAGCCTGATCCACTCCCTTTTAAATTTATCCAGAGATTCAGTCTAAAAGGAGAAAATGAATGGGTTTAAAATGCCCTTCTCAAAATACCACAGGGAGACTTGTGATGGAGAATATCAACGGAGCTCAACATCAAGGACCAAAGATTAATCCTTAGGGTAGGGGAAAGGGCACAGAACTGGACACAGCACGTTTGCGGTCAAGTTCTAGCTAAATCACTTGCTAGCTGAATGCTACTTGAATAATTGTGGGCCATGATGTAACCTATTTGTTCCTGCAAACTCAAGCTCAAGTTCACCTACTCTAGGAAGCCTTCCCTAACAAATCCCTTTTTTACTCCCATATCACTTTATCCTTGCCTTTTTCATGGCAACCTATTGTAATTGCTGATTTATTCCTGCCTCCTCTAGGAGATATTAGACTATAATTTCCTTGTATTCCGTGGCTCAGCAGAGTGCCCGGCACACAGCAGGTGCTCAATCATGCAGAATGAATGCATGTTCCCCAAGCTCACTGCCTCAATATGTAAAATGGGATAATTAATGCCTACTTTTCAGAGTTCCTTTGAAATTTACATAAGATATGCTTGGGAAAAAAAATCTTCATAAACTATAACTCCATATATAAAAGACTTGTGTTTGTCCTCCTCCTCTCCCCTTACTTTATAGAATAGCCCTTTAGCATGACATTCATGGCCCTGGACAATCTCTTTCCTGGCCACCTTTTCTATTTCCCTCTGCTGCTACCCCACTCCTCCATATTACAGCCGGCTAAGCACTATTTCAAGCAGACCAACTTCTTTCGTACCTCCTACATTTTAGATGATACGTACCTATCTACATGTCAGCAGGAACAAGGTGGGCTGTTATGATCGAAAGTAGTAAGAATGAAAAACAAATGTTACCTGCATCTACTAAGCATTTTCCTACTCTCTGAGTCTTTTCCCTCCATCCTCGGAGAATGCTGACGTATTCCACTCCGCCACCAGCGTGCTTTCAAACATAGGTTTGCTTATATTCCCAACGCCAACTGGATAAAACCACCTAGCAGCAGGGACAAGGTCCCTCATGACCTGGTTTTCCTCTGGCCACTTCACCTCCCTCCGCTGTTCTGCTAACAGCCGGTGCCATAGCCATAGTAACTACAGTCCTGGCAGGTTTCCCAAGGCAATAAGCCCGCTCAGCGTTCAGGCTTTTACACACGAGAGGTCCTTACCCTCTAACAGCCTCCTCTACTTTGCTTATTCAATGACCTCCCTGTCATTTCTTAAGGTTCAAATCCCATGTAAACTCTTCGGTGAAACCTGCCCTGAAACACTCCCCGGCATCATTAGCTGCCTGCTCCTCTCTTATGACGCCGCCATACACGTCTCGTCACAGTCTTCAGTGACGGTGGCTGTCAC